TGGTGATGTCAATCCAGGTCTCAGCGCCGTTGAGCCAGAAGACACCGACAGTGGAGTCCTTGCGGTGCGCCTGCATGAGAGGAATCGCTCCGTAGAGAGTCATGGGGCTGTCGAGGACGTACTCGAAGACGTCGGAGTTGTAAAGTCTGTAGGGCTCGGAGTACTTGCCATCGCCGCCACGGGTCTCCTTCAGAGACAGAGGACCAGCGTGCTCAGGGATACCGAAAACGTGCTCGTATCCGACGAATGAGATGTCGAGGGCGACACTCTCGGGACCACGGGGCTTGGAGTCGGTGTTGCCGCCAAACGTCTCGTCCCACCAGGTGCTCTCGTCCTCCTGCTTGACTTCGGTGGTTTCAGCCTTCTCAGCGTTCTCTTCGCCCTCTTTCTTTTCCTCGGCGGGCTTGTCGACCTTGGGGCGCCAGTGCTCCATATTGAGCAGACCGCGATCGTTGAGCTTGATGTGGGAAGATCCATCACGCTTGAAGTCGACACTGAAGGGCGAGAACTTGATGACAGCCTCGAACTTGGAGGAGGGGCCGTACTGAATGGTGATCTGGTCCTTATCCTGGTAGGCGACCTTGGCCTCCTTGTCGAGGTTCAAGCCACCAACAATGACGTGCTTTTCGGCTTCATTGTAGCGCTCCTTGCGGGCAGGGCTGTTGTTTCGCAGCTCGATTTCTCCCTTTTGGCGCTTCTCTTCGTCAACGGTCACACGAGCGGTGCCGGATTCGAGGAAGGAAACGGTGATGGGGAGGCGGACGGTTTCCTGGGCATCGTTGATGGTCTTGAGGATTACAGCCTGAAGTTGGCCGTCTTTGAGTGAGGCAGAGTCGGGGAGGATATTGTAGGGAGCGGCCCAGGTCGAGGACTGGGAGACAGCGTTATCGGCATACTCGCGATTGCGCTTGCAGAAGCCAGATTGGTGGCACTTCTTGAAGTCATTTTCCTTAACCATGACTGCGATTATCTTGTCAGTATCACTAAGTCAAGCAGTTGGGGGAACCAAGCAGCGTGAATTCAACACAAGTGAGGTAAAAGAAAGGTCATTGCGTCACGGGAGTCCTTACCTGCGGGCTGGATCATGCAGCTAAGTGCCGCCAGTAGACCAAAGAAGGTCGTCCATTTGTAGGACGACTTGCCGATGGTCCCCATGGCGGAGGGGTGTGGTGATTGTGTGTTTGTCCGAAAGGATTGAACGAACTGCTGCAAGAAACTCTGGAATCAAGAAGCGAACATGGGGATGAGAGCAAAAAGAAGGCGATTCTTCTTTGTAGTGCTCTCGCGTCGCGCGTTTGTGGTTGGTTTTGGTACACTTTGAATCGGGTTGGGTGGGAGGAATTGGTGACGTTTGGGTGGAAGGTACTTGTGAAGGTGAGACGCCGCTTGAGTTCAACAGCTGTCCCCTTGACTAGCTCCACTTTGGGCTTAGCTCGAGTCGCTTGCTGCGGGAGACAGGGGCCTATCGAAGAAGACATGTTTAATCGGATATTGGAAAACGGATAGGTGCATAGACCTTACTGACCGAATATTTACCCCGCCATTGGAGTAGACAACTTCCAGAACACATACGGATGGCAATGTTCGTAGGGTCTCGGCCACTTTCTATGAGGAAAGGCTGATGGTGCCTTCTATCTATAAACCTGCGAGATATGCACCTACACGATGCTTTTGGGCAATGTCATACCCCTGCGATGGATGATATGGTTAGGCACGCTTGAGGGCGAAACGTCTATGAGCGCCTTCCTGTTTTTGTCTGAAATCGTGAGCTTCTTTAGGGATGATATCACGTTATGTCCTCACTACTACACGTGCTCGTTCTTAGAAATCTGGTTCATGCTGGTCTACGCGGTGGTTGTGGAATGGGTGGATCCAGCAGAGCCGGGTTGGCTCGGTCGTTCACCATCTCACGATCCGCATCACCATCGCAAGAACGTCTGATGCGATTCCGCGAACAATTGCCGGATATGGCGGCACAAAGCGGACGTCTCGGAAAGGCTTGGTCGAACAATTTGATGAGCTATCATTCGAAAGCATCAAAGTAGCCTGCAAGTTGCTCGATTGAGAAGGAGATCCAGTAGTTCTTGTTCTAAGCGATACGGAAATGACCAAGAAACAGTCATCAAGACAGGGTTGCGAGTCAAGAACTGTGACGATTTTCAGGACAACGATTACGGTACGATGAATTGTGATCTTCTGCCCACGATGCACAAATGACAGCAATATAAGAGACGCAAAACTCCGTGGAAATCGTACTTGGTTATAGTTAGAATTATTCATCCGGACGTGAAGATGGCGCGCGTGCTGCTTTTGTTACTCGCCGGGCTGTCTGGTGGCCTCTGTCAAAAGGCACCACAAGTCGAAACTAGAAATGGCTCTTACACGGGCGTTCATCTGCCTTTACTCAACCAAGACTACTTCCTAGGCATGCCGTTCGCCCAGCCGCCTGTTCAAGGTCCCCTTCGATTCTCACCACCAGCTTCACTGAACACCTCCTGGACTGGATCGAGAGACGCTACTCAATTCGGCAACATTTGCTATGGCTATGGTGTACGTTTACGCAGCCGAATCACCCTACTCATCGCTGAAACAACCACATGTGCAGGATGGGCTTGCTAACCTTGCCATAGAATGACAACAACAGGCTCGCGGCACTTGGTTTCAAGATCTCTGAGGACTGTCTGAGCATCAACGTCGCTCGTCCTTCCAACTATACAGACCAGTCGCTGCCAGTTGCCGTATACATCTACGGTGGAGGCTACTTCCAAGGTGGCAGCGCCGATCCCCGGTTGAACTTCTCGTCCATCATTCGGGACTCTGTTGCAGCTGGGAAGCCCATCATTGGCGTTAGTTTCAACTATCGTCTTTCCGCCTTCGGCTTTCTAGGAGGGTCTGAAATCGTGGCTGCTGGAGCTGCGAACCTTGGCTTTAGGGATCAAAGATTGGCACTAAATTGGGTACAAGGGAAGTCGTAGCTGTTGAAGTGCTTGATGAGACGTTCTCAGCTCTCAGCTAACTCGTCCGTAGAAAACATCGCCGCCTTTGGAGGAGATCCTACCAAAGTAACCATATTCGGTAACAGCGCGTATGTTCTATGGACTTTCCGAGAGCCCTCAATGAAACCATGGAAACTGAGCATATGAATTTTTGTCTCTAGGGGTGCGGGTTCTGTCGGTGCCCAACTTCTGGCGTACAATGGGCGCGATGACGGACTGTTCAGAGGTGCCATTTCTCAGTCGGGAGCCCCTGCTGGTTTCTCGCCATTCTCCCCATGTAAGTCACAATCTGCCAGGCTACGACTCTTTGACTGATGAAGTGATCCGCTACAGTTCTCGACGTCGCAAAGTGGGACGAAGTCTACGAGAACATCACAGTCGGCATAGGCTGCAGCACGACAGATGCACTCAATTGTCTGCGGAACGTCCCAATCGAGGTTTTGAATGCCGTGGTAAATTCTACAGCCACTTCAGGGGCTTCCTATGGACTAGGTGAGTAGTCACATGTTTGATTGTTATCGAGTTTGGGTTAAGAAGTCCAAGTTTTTGATGGCGACTTTGTTGCCGATGCCCCAGGAGCGCAGCTGGCCAAGGGCAACTTCGTCAAGGTTCCATACATAATCGGCCACAACACAGACGAAGGATCTGCCTTTATCCCAGGGAACAACTTTGACAATGCCACGTTCTATCCAACGTCCAAGATCGACACGGATGAGCAGTTTAGGGAGTACATTGCTTCGCTCAAGGCCAACGAGACGGTTGCAAGTAGAGTGTTCGACATATACCGCCAAAACGCAACGGACCATGCTCTAGCCACATACCCGGACGATCTTGGTGCTGAACTCGGTTACCAATATAAGAGAGCTGTTACGCTCGCTGGTGACTCTAACATCATCGCGCCCACTCGTTACACGGCTCAGATGTGGGCGGCGTACAATGTGCCGTAAGTATACCCGCACTGATATTATGAAAGTTGCTGACTTATCAACCAATTGGCATTCAGTCTTTACAAGTATCGATGGGATGTCATCGTCAGCGGATTGCCTCGCTACATTGGCGCAACGCATGCGAAAGAGATCTTCTTCGTCTTCGACGACCAAAGCAGAGACGACTACGACGTGTGGCCTCTGCAAGACAAGCCTCAGTCTTTCTCCGAACTAGCTTCCATCATGGCAACGGCGTGGGCTAGTTTTGTGGCAACTGGTGACCCGAATAGCAATGGATCAGGTAAGTGTGGTCTACCGCAGGCCTCGACAGCATGGCTGCTGACGCTGAGCTTCATAGTCAACGGTACAAACTGGCCTTTGTATAATGAGTTCAAGGAGAACTTTGTCTTCACTGGTAACATCACTAGTCATGTCGAGAACGACGATACGCGTGAGCAGGAAATCAGCTTTCTGTCAAGTCTCTTTTGATGTCAAGTGAAGTGGCAGTGACAGATTGAAATGGTGGGACTGGGAAGGATGAGTAGGACCCACAAAAAACATAGAGGTGCCTTATCCTGGATAACCGATTAAATCACATGGGTCCCGCTGTGCCACTTAAGAGATTATCCGAGATGCGGTAAGCCGGAAGATAGGTACCTGATTCGTACCTGACAATCAGAATCTCAATCAACACGCACCATGATTATTTACTTATGTATCAACCCAAAACTGCACGACTTTTGAGCTTCTCTTGAGCGAAATGCAAGGTCAATTGCATGTGACGATCCAAAGAAAAGAAATTTGAGCTTGGCGTTTTGTATTTCAAGTGCTATAGGTAAGGAACCTTCCCCTTGGTTCAATGCCATTTCACACCTCACCCACCTCACCCTCTCTTTAGAATCACGGTGAACCTCCACCTTTTGGTTGCCATGAGTGCTGAGCTGTCAAAATAAAAACTAGGCGGTCTGGCTTCACAGTTCCAAAACTGCCGTATCAGAAGCTCGGTACAGCAATCTCCACACCTTTTCACTACGTTTCTACCTAAGCACCTTAGGTACATAGTACTTGCTTTCATCCAATGGCAGACTCGGGACCCCACCACCACAGCGGCGGCGCGCAGGACAACGACCCCGCCTCGAAGCACAAGAAGCCGCAGCAGAATAATGCCAATGCAAGCTTCCCCGAGTACGCCCGCAGGACAGCAGAGAAGCTGCCCCCACCAACTTTCATAATTCTCGCTCTCCTCTTCGGTTTGTACATAATTTTTTCCTCGAGCCAACAAAACCAGCGGTCAGCAGCAGACCTTTCTTCTCCTCCCGTCGCCCCTTCCGTTGTCACCACCACAATCTACCAAGAACATCAACCATCTTCAACTCCCAAAGTCGTCGTTGATACCTCTCCCAAAATGTCTACCGAGCAGACGTGAGTACACACCTCAATCCCTTTCTAACTTCCTGCCCATAAAGCTAGCAATGCACTCCAATGCTACTTGCTTTTCTTTGAGCTCCTGTCACTACCCTGAAATTACCCCGCCATCGTGGGAGGTTTCGGGCAGAAGAGGGGCACACATCACCACCACGAAACAGAACAAAAAAAGCTGACCCTGAAATAGCTTCATTGCCATCAAGCCTGACGGCGTTCAGGTACGCTTCATCTCATCTGGTACTTGCCAATTGCCAGGCACAGCAAGCTGACTCCCCCACAGCGCGGCCTGATCGGCCCCATCGTCTCTCGCTTCGAGACCCGTGGGTAAGTTTTATTCCAGATGATGCCCTACTCACTCTGGGCAAGTTTGTCATCCCTAACATGTCTCCTTCAGCTTCAAGCTCGTCGCCATCAAGCTCATGACCCCCGGCAAGGAGCACCTCCAGGCCCACTGTTCGTTACTTCCTCTCGCATCCCTCGCAAAGCAGAACTAACTCTTCCCAATAGACGCCGACCTCAAGGACAAGCCCTTCTTCGCTGGTCTCATTGAGTGTATGTTCCATCCCCAATGCCTCGCCCACCGTGATTCCAAGCTGACATCCTCGCAGACATGAACTCTGGCCCCATCTGCGCCATGGTCTGGGAGGGCCGTGACGCCGTCAAGACCGGTCGTGGTAAGTCCCTCACTAATCCTCTATACACACCCCTTCAGTCGAATAACCTCATGCTAATACACACCTCACAGTCCTTCTCGGTGCCACCAACCCCCTTGCCTCCGCCCCCGGCACCATCCGTGGCGACTACGCCATCGACGTCGGCCGCAACGTCTGCCACGGCTCCGACTCCGTCGAGAACGCCAAGAAGGAGATTGCCCTCTGGTTCAAGGATGGCGATGTCGTCTCCTACAAGGCTTCCCAGTTCGACTGGATCTACGAGAAGCCTTAAATGCTTTTTCTCTACTCCGCCACTATACACGAGCCGTAGACGTCCACCGTACGCTTGCCGCACGGGTGGGATGCATGTCGCCATGTTAGGTTGATAAAGAAAAGTTATAGGTCAATCAAAAAGCACAAACAAAGAGCCCATATGCTACCAGGAGTGTAATGTGATTTTTGAGACCTTCAACCGTGACTACCGACTGGATCTGAACAATCCACGTGCCCTGCCCATGACACCCGCAAACCACGGCGTCCCCCACACGCTGACGAGAATCCTCGCTGGCAGCAGCGCCTTCGTAATAGCCCAAGCCATAGCAACCTCCACCACAACCTTGTACTTGCCATCCCTCTGCCACTTCTCCAGCACATCCTGCGTGCTCTCAACCTCACCGTCCCCCTCCAACTGCCCCGTCATCGTTCCGCGGTCCTGGGCATCGAACCCAAACCACCCCTTCCTACTAAAATATCTCTCCGCCATACCCACACCATCCCTGACGTATCCCGCCCAGTGGCCCGTTACGTACTCGAGCGGTAAAAAGTTTGTGTAGTGGAAGAAGCCGAAGAGGCCGAGGAGGGGCACGACGGCGGTGATTTCGTGGAGGATCAGGAAGGCGACTACGTGCGAGACGGGCGCTTTGCGGAGGCCGGTGGTGTATTTCTGGAAGCGGAGGGGGACGCGATCGAGGATGCGGTCTGCCGCTCGAGAGGAAGAAGAGGAAGAGTTCGTCGAGGTATGACGCAAGGATGATTTCGTTGTTGGTGGGCGAGTTGTGCGGAGAGCTAGCCGCGACCTCGTGGTGGCGCGGCTTGCAAACATTTTGTTGTTGAGACGGGCGGTAACCTTTGCAGGCTCAAGTCCGTTGGATAGAAAAAGTCTTGGGTAAATATTGTCGGGGCAATTGCAAACTTCGCGTGGCCAAGAGCAGAAAGAGTATTGCTTACTGACGCGACGAGCTTTGGCCGGGTTCATCGATGGGAGATGACGCTCGAAAAGAGCTCTCGGTGGGGCGGATGGGTGAGGTGTCCATGCTTCGGTGTGCCGGACTCACCGAGGTAGGTAAGGTGAAGACGCCGTCGGTGCTTGACAGTGCGGGCCGCCGCGGGCCGATACTTGGACGCCCCAACGACGTCCCGTCACACGCTACGCAACCTATCACACGCGCTACGATCCGAGGTTATTTCTTTGCTGATCAGACATTGCCCCAATTTCTCATGAGTGAACGTAATGTCGTCGACGGTAAGTCACTCAACGTTTTTAAGACTGCCACGGGCAAGTGTCTCTACTGGCATAAGGGCTTCGCTCTAAAGTTCGCTGTATGCCTACCTCCGTCCAACTTGAGGCTTGTTATGATGTAGTTTTTCTTCAAAAGCCACGAACGAATTACCTGGGCATTCCAGTCGAGGTAAATACACCTAGGCTAACCTGCTGACGCGTGTCGGTCGCCCGCAGACAAATACCAGCCCGAATTCGAGCCGTGCCCGTTTTGCCGAAGCTTTTCAAACTCTTCTCGCGCCATCCACGCTCCCAGACGGCAGGGGAAATGCTGTTAACATCCGTTTGACTGCCCTACCCGGAGTTAGTGCCCCACCCTAATTCCATCAAGTCCGGGCCTAGGAAGAAGTTGAGTTGCCGTCGGAGAAGCAAATGCCATCATCAGTGCGCACTCGACGGGTGGTGCCACCACTCGAATGGCCGACCTGACGGCATTGACTCTTGTGAATAAATGATCTTCCCCAAAGGTATGGCGTAGGCTGAGAGACGGGCATCGGGATTTGAAAATGCCAATTGAGGTTTCTCACGGGCGCAGAACCAGCCACACCGCTGGCGCCTTCGTGTTCATTAGAGTCTACGGATAGAAATGGCACAACTAGGAAGGAAATGGCGAGAGTTTCGACTCCAATCCTAGGATGTTTCGTGTACGAAATCTGATATATGACAAACAAGCGCTCTTATCGCTGCGAGGAGTGGCAGATGACCACGGTTCATTCTACTAGGCAAACCGCACGAACCAGATGCGGCCAAGTCTTGAATCCTGGACTGTTGCTAAACTACGGCACGGCTCGCACTGCTGCTTGCTGACCTTGCTTTTGCTCCTCACTATTCGGTCTCATTCTATTTCTTGCTCCTCGTCGGAGACCGGGTAGTTTTGCTTGGGTTGCGTTCCGAAAATCTCAATGTATACAGAAACTTACTCTTATTCCATGGGTAGACAAACAGAGACAGTTGAACTAGCGATCCCCCTTAGGCGTTGCGGAAGATCTGTGCCCAGGTCGACTTTGATGTACTCCGTGAACGTGCTTGTAGCACCTCAGTCAGCAAACAACGCGGGGCGAAATGAAGAAGCAAAAGTTATTTTCAATAACCGGAAAACAGCTCGAAATTCATCAGACAATAAATCCTCCGATGACAGAAAAAGGTAAACCGAATATCTGTATTGCCAGAGGAGGGGAAATTGAGATGATGCCCGAGGTAATTCTCGTGAATCGGCAAGACTGTTACGGGTCGCTTTCCCACTTTCCGAGTCAATACTAGTTACCTAGGTACAATAAAGCTTCATGTCTGTACGTCGGTAAATTTACCTTTATTTGGACAGCCTGGCAGTCCGAGGGCTGCGCCATGGATCAGTGTTGCCCACATACTTAGGCCAGTCCCTTGACTTTGGTGGCAAGGAGTACCTAGGATAGGTGAGCACCACAGTCACTAAACGCCGTCCAAGACTGGTATTTGACGGTCCTGATAGTCTGACAGACCTCTGTCTACCTATCTTCTAGCAAAACACGAACAATGGCTATGGAACCCAAGTGCCGCTACCTTGAGCAACAAGTCAGGGACTCGTAAATATGTAATGCAGCCTATATCGGAATCAAGATACTCGAAACCGAAGCCTCATAGGCCGGTTAGGTGTTCCACTTACCTCCCACGTGAGCCGAGTCTCTACATCTAGCGCCCTAGACGCAGTAAAGGATGTCACTTATCTCGGCAATGAACCATGAATTGTAGTAAAACGCTTTTGAAGGGACTTGAAATCGGCGAAGAAAGATGGATCTCATGTTTCTGTTTGTTTACTCTCCCTCGCCATCAAAATTTTCTGCTCTGGATTGCAATCGTAGGTGAACCTTTACCATAAAAAGCCCCCTTTGTAAGTCTCGCGGATGAAAACGTTTTCTGGGTACGATTTGTATGCCCTAAGAGTGCTAGCACAACGGCACCGTGCTCTCTAGTCTAGGCCTGCTGTGCCCGCGAGTTTCAGCTTCAATCAAAGAGACTGCCAAGAAGACTTCTGCAAGGCATATTGGCTTGGTTTCATTAAATCTGTCTTCATCTTCAAGAATGGCCGGCATTCATCACAACTCGAAAGCCTTTCCGGATAGGTCTCCTTCCACTTGGGTCACCTCTGTCCATCCGTCTGGTCCGACCATGGGGCTCTCTTACTCTAGCGTAACTCAATGTTGCCTGATCTCGAACGGCAGACTGCCTTAGTGAAGGCCGGCGGCTTCGGGGATCGATGGCGAAGCTTCAGGGCGGCGGCCCGCTCAACGCTAAGCCTTGATCGATGAACTCCTTGAAGGTTTTTCCCCAGCCCCTGAAGTCTGGGACTCCTCCCCCAGGGGTTCTTCGACGCTGAGGGATAATCTGCCGAAAGTGGGCGCAACTTTCGAGAACCTTCAGCTATCTTTGTCCTTCATTGCGCCAAGCCAATGTGAAAACTCAACACTGTAAAGCATCGCACTCGGCAAGTCTTCCAAATCATCACCAACCTTTCATGGACAACTGTCGTCTGAACCTACTGCCGAATGTTACTCTCGGACCGTGCAGCGAGCACGCCTACCCTGACCCCTCTCCAGAGCAATCAGCTCGATGTTGCCTTGCCGGACCCTCGACAATCAGTCCATTCATCCACGGCCCGAGGAATGATGGACTTTGTGCTTGAACAGACCCACGGGAAGGGTTAAGATCTTTGAGCTCCTTCTTTGTTGAAATAACCTGCAGAACCTTCTTGAAAAGATTCCTTTCTCCCGTCACACAACACAGCAGTCGGTACTCAAGACTCGAAGACTGCCGAGTCAGACAATCACAACGAACAATCATCGATCTCGACCCCATTGCTTCCAGCTTCATCAGACTCGCAGGTATCGCAATACATCATGGCTTCTACCGGAAAGATGGAAGTCGACAAGATCGAAGCCACCAACGCGGCTGTCCAGACAAACTCTCCCATCCCAACTGGCCACGCCATGGATCGTCAGTTCGCAAAGTTCAACAGCTTCAAATATTACCGCAAGACCACGAAGCCAAACAACGCAGTCTACATCAGCCGCCGCGAGAAGAAGGAGAGCTTCCGTCACCTGCGCAGAAATGCAAGTAAGTATCAGCCCCCTTCCCTGTTCGGTGCCAACAAAAAATAAAGGCATTGGACTGACCACCCTGGGAACATTACAGTCTCAGGACCCAGCACTGGCCCGAGACCGGGCAGCGGAACGGACTGGTACGACGTCCCATCCTCGATGCTCACCGCCGGGGACAAGCTCCTCATCGCGACTAATCGTCTTCCGACCATCGTTCACATCGTTTTCAAAACTGGCTTCTCCTTCTCGCCCCTCGACTTCATGAGCAAGGAGGCCGCCACCGATGTCTGCCGCTACCTCGAGCTCGAGGGCAAGCTCACCAACTTCCAAGGTGAAGGTGGCCGCATCGCCGACTTCATGTGCATGATTCTGAACGAGTGCGAGCGATTCAAGTACCAGTTCACCGACAAGACCCTCTTCAGGGAGGTGCCTAAGCAGAGAGGATTTACGCAGGGCTTCTGGGTGAACATTGCCCACGAGGTTTCCATCAAGCAGACTATTGCCAAGGGAAGGCCAGCCGAAACTTGGGCCGACGATATCATCAAGACTACTACCTGCCAGGAGATACTTGGCACCTTCGTCCGAGCTCGGAAGGCTTACTTGCGAGAGATGGCCAAGGAGGGCGAGGGTGGTGCTGATGGTGATGATGGCGGCGCTGGT